GATCCGGATCAAAGTCCTTGGGTGGGTGATGCGAGGCCGAGGGAGATGCAGGTGGGTTGTCGATGTTGAAATAGGTGATCTCGGCGGCAAGCCCTGTCGCCATCCACTTGTACATGCCCCAACACGTCTGCATGAGCTCGCGGGCCAGCTTCATGTCCTCGTCCTTCTTCTTGTTCCATGTGGGTAATTTCCTGGCCTCTGCCTCGGGAATGCCTCCAGTCGCTCCCAAAGCAATGGTACCGGGCATGAAGCAAACAAGGTGGTCCATCTTTGGAGACAGCTCGTGATTCAGACCAGAGGGGCGCTCTCCGAGAACAGTAAATCCAGAGGGTTTGCTGTAGGTTATCAGGTGCTTGCGGACTCCTGCTAGGGCTTCGTCCCACATCTCCAGATAGACGGGCTCCTGCTTGTTCGTCTGCAGATACTGCTTGATCAGGTACTCATAGTACGAGTCTCCGCGGGAGCCCAGGCGAATGTTGTCTCCCCTGAACTCTCCCGTCGTGGCGTAGAGGTAGATGGGGACGAGTCCATCCTGAGCACCGTTATCGTCAACCACCTTCATGACCCGCTCGACCTTGTCCCAGAAGTCCTTTTCGCCGGTCAGCTTGGCTAGGTACTTGAACTCGAGCTGCAGTGTCGTCGTCTCTGCGGTCGAAGAGGCGCCGCCGTCAGCGTGGGATACGATGCCCTTGTAGGTGGCCAGGTTGACGCTGGCGTAGGGAACTCCTGACGGCGAGTCAAAGGCGCTCATCAGACGATCGGCCAGATCTTTTGCTTTTTCCAGGTATAAGTCCTCACCAGGCGCGCCTGGGTCGTCGTCTTTGATCGCGGCCAGCTCGGGGAACTCGGTGGACAGGTAATGCGCAGAGAGAAGGCCACCCATCATTCTGATGGTTGTCTCGAATGTGTTGACGTCTTGGTCTTGATCCCACGTCAAGTCGTTGGCAAGCCATTGCCTCGCATGGCTCAGGCGCGATGTCAAGTTCATCAACATCATGGTGTCGAGCGAATCGATGATAATCCAACCAAGACCCTTGGGTGCCATCTGTCGTCCGGTCTTCGCAATGGGGTGGTACTCGTCGTATCCTATGAACAAATTCGGCTGTTAGTTTCCGAGCTCCATATGAGCGAACACAATGTTACCAGCAAGTTCAAAGTCTTACCCCAGGCATAGCGTTCGTAGGCATCCCAGCTGAGCTCAAAGGCCTCAACTACTCTCTCCCGTCTCTTGAGCCAGTCCACCTTCTTGCCCGTGGGCTCTGTCGCACCAAGCCAGCCAGTCCATGTCGTTGCCGATTCGCGGGCCTTGGAGCCCTCTGAGAAGAAGCCAAAGAACCAGAGGCCTGTTACGAAGCAGAGGAGGGTGACGAGGATGGAGCGCTTCCGCCGCCAGAGAGGCCGAAACCTCCGGCTTGCGTGGTGGGCATAGGGCTTGTCCTTGTACATGGGAAGCTGGCCCTTGGTACCAAGAAGGTCTTCTACCCGCCCCTGCACACCGTGGAAGATACCAGAGTTGCCTCCACGGTAGGATCGGCTGCTGTTGGCAGAGGCACCCCAATATCTGTCCTCGAGTTGTCGCTGGGGATTGCTGAAGGAGGGAACGTTCTTTGGGACATTGAAAGACATGTCGTTCAGCGCAGTGGCTCCGGCTTCGACTGCTTTTTCTTTGATGTTATGGGCAGCTCGGGCGGCCGTGATTTTGAAAACGCTAAGGGCGGAGTTCTGATGTAGATTGAAAGGGTCGCGAACATTCATATTACGCCCTCAGCATTGTCGCAGTGTGGATCCGGCGGTTTCGAGCAAACGACGTGGGACGGGACGAACAGGTCGCAAACCTCGGGGGTCAACAACCTTGGAGGGAAAAGACTGTGAAGGAGGCTTGCAAAGACTGGTGCTCTGGCTCAAAACCCAGCAGCTTTGAGGAATGAGAGTTGTACTGTGACGGCGTGGGATGTAGGAAAAATAACAAGAGAGACAAGAGCAACCAGCAACTGAGACTACCTAAGGAATCTCGATGATGTGGACTTTCTGACCCAGCTGGAGCGGGCCAGTGAGTGACACCTTTCGGTCGCGCAAAGGTGTCCCGTCGGGTCTTAGAGGTAAGGTGCCGACCACTCTACCCGCTAACCCACTGTATTTCCTTACAGCGCACGCTCACTGGTGGACGGGACAGGAACCTACGGAAAGGCGGCACTTGTGCCCAGCGTACCATGCACCTTCGTCATGATGGATCGATGCGTTTGAATCTTTATTGTTCGGTACCTAGTTCTTATGGTCTTTTGACCACCAATCTCGCATACATGCAACTGTCTGTGATTGCGAGTCCTTTTTTCGGTCTACGCGATGCTTTCAGACTACTGCGCACTGCCTTCTGTATTCGTAAGGTAGCTAGCTCCATTGAGACCATTACTCCCATCTGCTTCAGCCTGATGGCATCGAGCATTATGTGTACAAATCACTCATTGGCAAAATGAACACTCCCAGAAATCCTAGTGTCGCATTCCGTCTTAGTTTAGTGTGTAGTAGTACAATGGCTCTTCCCAATCGTCGCAATGCTCAATCATGTGTATGTTGTGTTTCAACGCGTAAAAGCGCTGCTTCCCTTACAGAAGCATACGTCTGGGATCCTCAATGTACTCCTTGACCTTGACCAAGAACTGAACAGCTTCTCTTCCGTCAAGAAGGCGGTGATCGTAGGTAAGCGCCAAGTACATCATGGGGCGGATCTCGATCTTGCCGTTGATGGCCACTGCGCGATCCTTGACTGCGTGGAGTCCGAGGACGGCAGTCTGGGGAAGGTTGATAATGGGGGTGCCCATCAGCGAGCCAAAGACACCGCCGTTGCTGATGGTGAAGGTACCGCCAGCCATGTCCTCGATGGTCAGCTTGTTGTCGCGGGCCTGTGATAGCTCCATGTTAGCGTTGAACCTCGATGACGTAGTAGGGTCATCGTCCATACCTTCTTGCCCATGTCGGCAATAGCCTTCTCGATGCCGAGCATGTCCAGCGACTCGGTGTTGCGCACGACAGGGGTGACAAGACCCTTTTCAGTGGCGACCGCAACGCTGATGTCGACATAGTCGCGGTATACAATCGTGTCGCCGCCGTTGGGGCCCTCGATGGAGGCGTTGACGGCCGGGATATCGCGCATGGCCAGGACGCAAGCGCGAGAGAAGGCGCTCATGAAACCAAGCTTGACACCAGTCTTCTTGAGGACGTCATCGCGGTAAAGCTTGCGGAACTCAATAAGGGAGGACATGTCAACCTCGTTGAAGGTGGTAAGCGAGGCCGCTGTGTTCTGCGACTGCTTGAGTCTTTCGGCGATTCGAAGGCGCATGCGGTTCATTTTCACCTGCGAAGACGCCCAGTCAGCTCTATTGCTCATGGAAAAGATTGCACGCAAAAATTGGGTGGTAGACCTACGCGACGTTCCTCACGGCTGCCAAACGCCGGAGCAGCGCTGGTTGCCGACTCCTTCTCGGGAGCAGGAGCAGGTTTTGACGTCTCCTTTGCCGGGGCAGCGGGCTTACTGGCGGGCGCATCATCCTTGGGCGCCTCCTTCTTAGGTTCCGGCTTCGATTCTGACTTGGACTCTGGCTTTGACTCGGGCTCCGAGTTCTTCTCTGGGGCAGGCTTGGATTCGCTTGAGCTGGACTTCTCGCCTCCAAGCTCCATCTTGACGATATCCTGGCCGACAGTGACGGTGTCCTCCTCGTTGACCAAAAATTCCTTGATCGTACCGGCCTCGGGAGCGTTAACAGCAACATCGATCTGTGCAACAAGAGAAAGAACTGCGGTCAGCAATAGGAACGTCATGTTTCCCCCAGAGACACCAGATGAACAAAGCTACCTTGTCAGTCTCGATGGTGGCAATCTCCTCATCCTGCTCTACAAAGTCGCCGACCTGCTTCGACCACTGCTTCAGGGTACCTTCGGAAATGGACTCAGCCATCTGCGGCACTTGGACGATTTTGTCGGCATAGCTGCGGACGTGCTGCATCATCTGGGGAAGCTGCAGCGGCAGCGAACGCGGCTGGTACCGGCGCAGCGGCACGGAGCGCGCAGTCGCGACAAGTCTTCTCGAGAGCATCGTGACGGGTGTTCGATGAGGTGTGTGGGGAAAAGGAGAGAAGAGATGAGTGTGGTTGTGTTTTCTGTTTTTTGGGTGCACTCTGGTAGGCTGGCAAGCTGGTCACAGGTCTGCAGGAGACCCACAGGTTGGCAATGGCAGCAGCATAGCTGTAGTGGAAGCGGTTCTCTCCGTGTGTACGCCCGTAGCCAGTAGCCTTCTGCCGTCAAATAGGTACCCTTACCTCGGATAGCACTCAGCCACGGCCGGCTTGGAGCCTGCCCTGTAGTTTTTTCTCGCCGGGACAAATACGGAGTACATGCCGATCCTTCCGACGCTGGGACAGATGGAATTCCCAAGAGGCAGTGTCACTGGCAAATTGGCACCGGAACTGTCGTGTTGGCCATCTTTCACTGTCACCAGCAGGTAGGCAGGACAGAAGGGCTCAATCTAAGGTAGGAGCCTTTGATATACAGACAAAGTGACGAAGAAAGAGTTTCAGGCATGGACGGTCTCCCATTCAAGTTGCAAAGTGCTACTACTGTCAGATACGTACCGGAACGAAGTAGCCGACTTAAACATTGGGTATCCGTACCTTGAGGCCAGTGGGGCTCTCAAGGGCACAACCGACACCCAACTCGTCGTACAGTCGATGGCCTGCATCCGAGCATTTCAACTTCAAGAGGGATACGGCCCGGGAAAATAGACGCCTGCCGCATCGAGAACCCTGAAATCGACTCGGTCTATGTTCACATTATACGTGTGAGCCAACGGAGAGTCGAGTCTGCCCTCCAGTGCCACGACTGATCATTCCCCTACAGTCGACGTTGCATCCTCATCAGTCGAGTTCTCAGGGATATTTGGACCTATTTCACACGAACAAGGGAAACACAAATTCAACTCTGGAGGGCACACATTGTCTACGTTAAAAATGTCGTTTAAGGACTTCCCATTTTTGACTCCTGAGGAGTTTTCCGAAATATGCCATCATTTCGATAGCCAGTATTGCCGTGCTACCTTGGGCCCGATGCGACGGCGTTGGAAAATGAGGGTATGCACGGCACTTGATACATCATTCGCCTCGGGCGTTGAATACACTACTTATTTGCAAATCATCCGGCCACTCGAGGCTACTTTGGACTGCGGCGATCTCTCATCCGTTCTGGATAATTTTTCATTTGGCGATGGTGCTTCGGAAAAGGATGCTCTGGGACTGGGTGATGAGGCCATGATTGATGCTGAAGAATCCGACGAGGTAATGTTCCAGGCTCTTCTTATACGACACGCTACTTATGTTCACTCACATACGGCAGGCTGCGCTCTCCAGGTCACACGTTCCTGATTCCGGTCACGTCGTCTACGAAGTGCACTGGCATCCCACATATCGGATGCCTTGCCTGTGGTTCACATTACACGGACTGCCAGCCGACGAGCCTGCATTCAACCTTGACACTGTCTTTCGAAGACTGGTGCCCGATCAGTTCAAGGATGCTCTCCGACGGTCTAGCGGAATTGGAGGGATCTCCGGCGACGTAAGTGTGCATCAGCTGCGGACCAGTCAATTAAATCTTCTGAAAGAGACCGTCTGTAGGTCTGTACTAACAATCGAGGTCGCAGCACCACCCTCTCACGGGATTACCGTCATTCTTCATCCATCCATGCCTTCTCGGTGACGCCATGTCGGGTTTCAACTGTTCCAAGGAGCAGTACATGATGCTATGGCTCGGCCTGGTTGGCGGATGCGTCGGGCTCTGGGTGCCCAAAGAGATGGCCCTGGATCCAACCGGCTGAAGCTCACCGCCGCCGGGACCTTCCTGCCTTCTCTCACCCTGTTTGAACTGAAATGCAAGGCTGAAATCCTCAATCGTCGTCGCTGTCCTCTTCCATGGCAACATCGCTGTCCTCGTCTTCTTCCTCGTCTCTGGTCCGCTTCTGGCCTCTTGCATCAGCCGTCTGCGCGTCAGCCATGGTTTGATCATCACCGGCTGCCGGCTTCGTCGTGGTGGCCCCCGTGGCCGCCGCTGATGCGGCACCAGGTGCGGGAGCGTTGAAGATGCTCTTCTGAAGATCCGTCACTTCGGTGCTGGAAGCTCCTGCTGTCGAGTTTGGCATCTTGTATGTGCCGTCTAATTTGGCGACGAAGTCGGACTTGGACTTTGCGTACTGGACGTTCTGTTCACGGTCTCGTCAGCGAAATCCCTTATGATCCTCTACTCTCAAGGCCGCATACCAGAGGCCGACCGAGGAACTCAAAGCCTTCAAGGGAGCGCATGGCCTGGGTCGCTGTCTGGATATCGCGGAAGGTGATGTGGGCTTGCCCTCGCATCTTCATGGTCTTCATGGCGACGATGTCGAGAACGGGGCCGTATGTGGAGAACAGCAAGTAAAGTTCGGTTCGCAAGTCGACTTTTTGTATCTTGTTCGACGGGAGATTTGTGACATATAGCCTACAATCATTAGCGATTGCTTCTTGTTTCCTGGGTTTCTGACTTACGTCTGGTTCGGAGCAACAGTCGCAACTTTGGCGGGTAGTGATGCGTTTGGCGCGAGGCCACGGGGAGGGGCGACCGCTGCCATTGTGCAGTATGATGAACGGAAGTGTGAGATGATATGAGGCCTTTGCGGAAATCGTCAATTGCTCGGCAGTGTGTGTTCGGTGTGGGTATGGTCTCGAGGTGGCGCGTAGCGATATTCGTCCTCGTTGAATCGTCGCGGTACCGATTTTTTGTGATGAACGTCCGGCCACCGCACTGTAGTTAGTCGAGTAGCCTTCGGAGCTTCACTGCTAGCGCCGCCAATCGATCCCATGGACGCCAGGGTGTGGCCTTAGGTTCAGAGCTGTGCACGAAAGAGAATGGTGCGAATGCCATGTTGCCCTGTCGGAAGACCTACCTAACCTACCTACGTAACGCCCCTCTCTGCCCCACCAATGTGCACCTCCCAGACGGTACGTTGTAGTGTATGCAATGCATGCACCTTACGTATGTATGTAGAGCCTGGGGGAGATACATTGCCTTGCTTGGACGGAGGCCAGCCAGCATCAACCAGCACTGCCTCAAGCGATCACTTCATCTGCCAACATCGCCAACTCTGCTCTTTCCACACTCCCTCAACAACCTCCGACTCATTCTAGATCGTGGTAGTAGAGAGCTATACTCCTATCACGAAGCAATCGTTCATCATGGCGGCCCCTCAGGTTCACCACCTCTTCCACGCGCCCATCGCGGACCACTCCTTCTCTGCCGACCGCCAGACGCTCGCTATCGCTCGCGATTCTACCATTGAGCTCTACGGACCTACTGGAAACTCTTTCAAGCTCAAGGATGAGCTCAAAGGACACGACAAGACCGTCACGAGTGTCGACATTGCTCCCAACAGCGGCCGCATTGTCTCCTGCTCTCAAGGTATGTCAATGCGCGCTAATTCTGTCCTGTCTCCGAGTCGAGAATAGCAACTGACCTCCCGCGATAGACAGAAATGCTCTTGTCTGGGAGCCCTCGCCGACCGGATACAAGCCCACACTTGTCCTCCTCCGAATCAGCCGCGCCGCGACCTTTGTGCGATGGTCCCCCTCCGAGACCAAGTTCGCCGTCGGATCGGGCGACCGCGTGATTGCCGTCTGCTACTTCGAGGAGGAGAACGACTGGTGGGTGTCGAAGCACCTGAAGAAGCCCATTCGCAGCACCATCACATCCGTCGCATGGCACCCAAACTCCGTTCTGCTTGCTGCCGGATCTACCGACGCCCACGCCAGAGTTCTGTCCAGTTTCATCAAGGGTGTCGACGCCCGCCCCGAGCCGACCGCTTGGGGTGAAAGATTGCCGTTCAACACCGTCTGCGGAGAATACTTGAACAACTCTGCCGGCTGGGTTCACTCTGTCTCCTTTTCGCCGAGCGGAAATGCCCTGGCGTTTGCTGCTCACGATAGCAGTATTACTGTCGTATACCCCAGTGCCCCTGAACAGCCTCCCCGCGCCGTTGTCACCATCACCACCCAGTTGCTTCCCTTCATGAGCCTTCTGTGGAGCTCAGAGGATGAGATCATTGCCGCAGGCTACGACTGTGAAGCCTTCCGCTTCAAGGGCGGCGAAGGCGGCTGGAGCCTTGCTGGTACTCTCGAGTCAAAGGGCCGACCCGGGCTTAGCGACGCCCGCGAAGAGTCTGCGCTCAACATGTTCAGGCAGATGGATCTCAAGGGCAAGGCTACGGACGATACCAAGCTCAAGACGGTACATCAGAACACTGTCACCACACTTCGTTCCTATGAAGAGTCTGGCGGTAACTTGACAAAGTTTACCTGTAAGTTTTCGAATCCCTTTGTTCACTGGTGTCGAATGCTAACTAGAGATGAAGCCAGCGGTGTCGATGGGAGAATCGTCATTTGGAGCACTTAGACGACCTTTCATAGCAAGCTTTCAATGGAAATACCACGATGTTTCAGATACTCACCTCCATGTTGTGAGCTGACATGCTAGCACCTAGTGACACGTTCTCGACAGTTCTTTCCGAGAACATTGACCAAGAGGCCTCGGTCGCTCGACGTCCGGTTCTATACAAATACGGCTTGTAAGATCCTCTAACTCAGATTGACCTTCCAAGTGGCGTTGATAATCAACATTCAACATGGAACAGTACGGCACAGAACCCGAGCCTCAGCGCTCACCCAGCACATTCATCTACAATCTTGCGTTCAGACCAAAGGATCAGAATTCGGCGTCCTGTGTGAACTCAATGACTGTACAAGCTTCGCCTATGTCACCTCACTTTGATTCACAACTCCACGCCGGTTCTCTCCTTGAACGACGCGCTCTGGCTGGACGCACTATCCACGGCATGCCACTTGCGCCATTAACTGTGCAAATTCCGCACCGAAATGACATGGAGATATCCGTGGCGGATTTTGGCGCATTAGATGACGGCTTCTTGCGGTTTCTTACACGACACCAATCTCATGAGGAGAGGCATGCTCTAGCGATGAGGATTCGCTCGGTTCAGGACATTTGTCTACGAGCTAGCCAGAAGTATCACGAACGACGACGCAGGCAAGCCAGAAACGATCGCAGAAGAGAACGCAGAGAAGAACGCAGAGACAATTCAAGGGGGGGTTGCTTGAGAAGGTTTCGTGGAGGCAGTCGTCGCCCCGGTCCCTACGATCGACCCGTTCAACGAGATTCGCACCATTATTCTTCGTCTTCAGCGTCTTCCACCGCCAGCGACTCGGTCTCGAATGAATCGCTTCTGAAGAGCACCGGCCGGATTTGCAATCATCTCTGGGAACAAGCCAACGTAGACGCACTAAACGAATTCATGGGTAGGGGGAAGAAGCGGGAAGCAGCGACAACCATGTCGCAGCTGCTAGAATGGGCGGAAGCGGTCGTGGAGTGCAGTAATCGCACCAAACGCAGCGACTCTCCCGACAGGTCGGACTTATTGCGATTACTCGAAGCTGCAAAGAATTTGTGCGGCTGGCTTGGTGACAGTGACGGGGAAGCAGAACTTGGAGAAGTTGAGGGCGCTGTGACATTCTATCTCATCTTTGGAGTGGCATAGACATTAGGGAAAGGTGGATCATGTTTTTTTTTTTGGTGATGTTGGTGCGAGCTCAATAATTAAGGACAAGCGAAATGGTAGGAAATGCCTCTAGCTGTCTGATATCAATAGCGAAATCGTGTATTTGATCCTTAGTTGACGAATATTAAAAGAAGTCAAAGTTTTCCTTCCCAAGACTCTTTCAACATGTATGAATGTCAGACTGAAACATGATACTTGGCTCTGGCCTCACACTTTCTGAATGCAATGCTTCTTTCTGTCCTTGCGAGGTATTCAATGGATCCAGATTCTTGGACGAAACAAACGGTGAGATCCATGTCTTTGAGATATTCTGGCGGGGTCAAAGCAATGGAATGGAAGCAAGCACATGCAGTTGGGCTATCTTCTCCGTGCCTACCTGAGATACCTGACATGCTAGCGTACTGAAACTCCCCCAAAGTACTTAGGCACAATGTCATAGTGAATAGTGACATGTGCTGCCAAACAGAGACCCGGTCACTGTGTTCGCCCAAACGGGAGATACCCATGCCCCTACCACCTCTTCACCTTCTCCAGCTCAAACGTAGTCTCCCGCTGATCTAACCCAACCCCACCAAACGCGCCAGCACCTCCCAGCTCCCGCCCGAGTGTACCTGTGCTTGTACTCTGCCGGGACTCGTAGTGTCAACCACCTTTTAACAACACATTCACTGCCGCCTTTTTCTTTTTCCTTTGAGAGAGAAACGTCACCGCTATTGCCTGTGAAGATCCCTCTTGGATTCCCTTCGCCAGTAAGCATCTCCTGCAGTCTCTTAAGTTTAGTTGCTTCTTGAATCCAAGAGGCCTTCCAGGCGCTTACCATTTTCCGTCTTCCAGCCCACCTCAGATTACTCACCGCGTACAAGCGACCCGCCACTATTTGCCAAAAGGACCCCGCCAGAGCTCTACCGATACGCAATATCGCACATCACCGGGCTCCAGAAACAACAACCACCCTCATACACGCCCTATTTGCACGAACAGCCCTTCTCCCTCCCGGGAATCCGACTCTTTCCTACAACGAAACCTGAGAAAGGGAGCCATGACCAATCACTTATAATGGAAACCCCAATGTCAACTCAAGAGCGCCAGCTCTGTGAGTTTCTCCGAGAGCTTCCCGCAAGATGGAACTACGAGTACGACGATCAAGCGCACCACGACCTGTTGGAAAGTCTATTCTGGTCTTTGGCAGGAGGCGAACGATACATGCCCCTCTTCTTTCC